TTTCAAACTGATACGAGTGATAAGAAACACAAATACACGCACTATCTTTTCTAAGATGTAAACATTTTTAACAAAAAAGAAAAAAATTATTAAAACGATGACGTCATTAAATCCTTAATAATTGTAAAAATTTCGAAATTTCTTTGATTAAAAAAAAAAAAAAAAAAAGAAAGAAAATTTTGAGCCTTAAAAGGTTTTTTTCTTTTTTTCCTTTGTTAATAAATCAAAGTCACGGTTTCAAGGATAAACCTTTGTAGAAAGTAATCCCTATGATCTTTATTTTGAAATTTTTAGTGGATTCTCTATCTCTCTCTCTCTCTTCTCCCTCTCTCTCTTTTTCTCTTACTATTTTTCCCCCGTGTATTATACATATATGCGTGTATGTGTAATTTTTTTTTTTTTGTATAAAACAAGCAAATAAATTTACTTTTAAATGTTACACACTATTATTATCATCATTATCATTATTATTTATTTAAATAAACTTTCTTAAAGAAAATGTCGGAGACTACTATTTTTTTTTTTTGTTGTCATCGAAAAGCGTGAAAAGAAAAAAGGTTTGGAAAATTTTCACACGCACATTAAAAATTATAAAGTTTAAAAAGAAAACCATTTAAAATTTTAAACGCGCACCTGTGTGTGTGAATGAACCAAATATCAACTTTTTCATTTAAAAAAAAAAACACATAATAATAATAATTTTAACCGTTATAAATATTTCAAAATCATTTCAAAAAAAAAAAAAAATTTTCTTCTTAAAACGGAAAACGGAAACTTAAACGTTAATAACGCACGCGCGTTTCTTATTTTCAAACAAACAAACAACATAAAGAAATCCGCGGTTCCGGTTGAAATAATTAAAATGTAAAAATATTTTCACTAACAAAAGGTTTTATTATTGTTTGTTTAAATTGTTTGCACTCGACAAACAACAACAACAAACGACGAAACGACAAAACGAATTTATTGACATAAACGTTGAATTCACACTAATTTTTTTTCCCCTCCATTTTTTTTTCTTTTCGTTTAAATTAAAAAAAAAAAAAAAAAAGAAGTGCTGACAACTGTTTAAAAAAAAAAAAACTAAAAAAATTTTATTTAAACAACAACAACAACAACAATCAAAGTTAAAAAAAAAAAGAAATCTTTTTTTTTTTTTTAGTAAAAAGTAAACTTTTGTTGCTTTTTCCATTTTTTTTTCTTCTTTTTTTTCCCCGCATTTTCTTCCCTTTTTCTTTTTTATGTAAAAATAAACAAGAAAGGGAAGAAATGAAATGAAAAAAGAAAAACAGGGAGATGGAATTAACCTAAAGATTGGAACGATGAAACTTTTCTCGGGAGGGGAAAATTTTTTTTTTTTTTTAATATATATTTTTTGAATTTGTTCTTATGTCAATATTATCATTGCTTTGAGGGAAGTGAAGAAATTATTATTATTATTCCATTTTCTACTACGGGAAAGAATAAAAAAAAGAAAATGTTTTCTTGACAACCATTAAGTCAAACATTTCAAAAGGAAAATCTTTTTTTTTTCGAGTAGTACTTCTTCAGAAAAAATTTTTTTTTTTTTTTGTGTCGCATTTCCGTCAATTTGT